GGATAGCTCCGGTCATCGCCCCACTTGTGATTGAGTTCCAGGGATCCTCCTTCCCTCGTACTTTTACTAAACCACAGTCGATCATGGAGAAGAGGCCTCCCCAGACTGCAAAGCTTCCTGTAACCCAAAAAAGATTCACTTAAGTTCAAAGGAAATTGTTAAATTAATAATAATAATATTTTGCCATCATTGGAAGTACTCGACACAAAAATTATTCAGTATCAAACACAGGCTCAAACTGTGGCTGCATTTGTCATTTCCTCCTGAATGAAGAATAGTTGGCTTGGATTTATGTCTACTATGCCACTTATAGTAAATCATTGATGCACCCTGATCCAGACGAGAGTCTTTTTAACATCAGTATCTGCTAACAGCAAGTCAGATCTAATGCTTATATTTACTTGAACATTGATTAAGCACATTTTTACGAGCTACTTAATCCAAATCTTAGAGTTCCCTGTTCAAACATATTAAGCTTAAATTATTAATATATGAATTAAAAATTAACTGAGAGAAGTGGCTCTGGAGAGAAGACATTATGTTGGAGTTGCTGGAACAAAACAAATAATCAACTTGCCAGTGTTGCAGAGCGAAACCTCTTCCCTCCAAACTATTTTTGACAAGTACAAACTGTGGTTTGCACAGAGCACTTTAACCTGACAACAGCCAAGTTTATTTTTGTCATTTCAACTAGCCAAAGCAAATTTTGCCAACCTCCTTGTCTGAAGTCAGAGTCATTAACAGATGAGACCAAATATTTAATACTTAAGAGATATTATATAGATGAATTTATCAAAATTGTAATTGTACGCACTGTGAGTAATATAAACAACATGATACCAAGCTGACTACAGCCGCTGACCTTTCCAGCCTACAGAGAGTGAGAATTTGATACTAAAGATAATGCATCACTTTAAGGAAGATAACATTTAAATTCAGCAGGTAGTCTTACCTCCAAGCTGTGGGGCTCTGGTTTTAATGGCAGTCATGCTACCTCTCATTCTGTGGCTCATCCCCTAAAAGAGAGAACAGCAGCAAACAGATCAATGGAAAATCCTTGTTAACTCAGGATAGACTGTATCTTCCTGATGAAGTCAAAATGACAAAGTTGCATATTATGTTAACTGAGTTCCCTTGTACTGTCACTGAAATTACTGAAAAGCATTTTCACTCACCACTTGTTGTTGGTACTGAACCTATTATTCTATGTTTTACTATATTTCTCAGTGTGTGGCGGACGGGCAGACAATGTGCCAACAACAGAGGGTGATTTAAGTGTTGACTCACAATAACAAAACCTGCATGCTCTGACCAGTCTTACATTGCAGGTGATATGATTTGTACAAGGATATTTTAATTGATGTATTTGACTGAGGCAATACAGTGTTAAGCTATATGACTGTACTTACTGAGGGTGCGTTTCTGAACCCTTTTACTGCCTGGAATATTCCTCCTCCAATGGCTCCCATGGTGAAGGCTCCCCCACAGTCGTCCACGATCCTCCATGGGCTAAAATCATATAACAGCCATTAGCGAAGGTCATTGTTATATTAATGTACACGTGCCAATATCTTAAGCTGTCTTGAGTATGGACTGGAAGCCAAAGGTGATTGTAGAGGAACAAGAACTCTTTAATATTGTTAACATGGAAATTAAACAAACCTAATCATAACAAGAAAGAACTAGTTTACATTTAGTGTTTAATTTGGAACTTTTTATAAATACAAACTTATTTAGATGATCATATAATCATATTACAATTACACTGAAAGTAAATAAACAAACAGATGTCCTTTTTTTGCCAAGCAAATTATGTGCTCCATCTATCGCCCATTACAAAATAGGCTAAATGATCACCTACATATCTGACCTCACTGTTAACTTCAAGGGCATCTTCACTTTAACAGTAAATCTAAATGTGTCTAAATGACCTTCAACGTGTCTTGTGTCACCCACACACAGTAAACAACACAACAATTAAAAAACAAAGTAAATATTTTATTTCAAAAGCTACTTTTTACAGCAAAACTGCCAGCTAGATAAAAACAGTGCATGAATCCATTTCTAGACCACTAGAATTTCAACTTATAGCCTGGTTATTACCATACACTGCATAATTAAAAAAGGTTATAACACTATTTAGCACTGGGTCTGGTGATAGCCAAACCTGCACTACACCCTACAAACAACATAAACATAATACTACTACTAAACAGTGGCTAAATGAGCATCACATAACTCCACATCGACACTATTTATTTAAGTTGCTGCGTTTTTCGTGTCTTGGTAGCCTCCTCCAGCTGTTGTGTAATCCTCAGGCTGCCCCCCAACATATAAAGTTAGCACACAGGTGGCTAACTCGACTAGCTCACCAATATGCTGAAGAAAACCACCTTAACTGAGCTAATTTCGCCTGAACAGCTAAAAAATATCGCCTGACATTCACCGTAGATCATATATCAGCTTGTATAAACTCACCGACTGGACTCAGTTACCTAGATATAATGACATGTGGGTGAGTTAACCGACAAGGTCACTAACAACGTGATGTAACGTTAGCCACGGCGGTCTAATGCTAGTACGAACTACCATTACAATTCTATGTAAGGTTAGCATTGGTGCTAACGCAAGGTAACTACCCGGGTTTTAAGATGTTTCGGGTCGTGCCACGTGTTGTACCCTTAAACTAACTATACACACTTAACGTGGCAGCTACCTCAAGTGCGGTCTTGCAGGTGACTCAGTAAAACGCAGCTTATAAACGTATTTTATTTGGTTATAAGACTCACCATGGTTCTCTGGCATATTCCTCCATTTTGTTCTTTCGCTGTTCCCTCTGACGTGATGCTTAACGACAGGCTGACGTAACCACACGACGTCACTTCTTAAAGGAGCATTACGTGTGTTTTTAAAGCGTTACTCAGGTTGGCTTGGTGGGAGTAAATGTTTGAACAGGTTATTTATTGTCTGGTAGGAAAATTAACTTGTTATTACGGTAAACGGATCAACACAAATTTGTTTGTTTGTTTTGTTTTGTTATCCTGTATGTAACATATGTGGGACTTCAAGAAAGGCTTTTTTTCTTTTCTGTATTCCTATTTTAAACTTTCTTTAACAATATCCTTAATGTTACTTAACCCAGAACTGCTGAATAATAGGAACAACACATATGTTTGGTCTTATTATATCAACCACTTTTTTTGGCGTGAATTTTGGCATGGTGGATAGGTCTAAACACTACAATACCCATGAGCCTCTATGAGCATGGCGTGGAAAAGGGGTCAGTCAGAGGCGCAATCAAATCTCAGTGCGTCTTGGGTGCATTCACACCTGTACTTGGAGAACACTTGTTCATGCCAGGTGTAAACACGGCCTTGGAGCGGTAGTGAATTCTGCACATAGTGTATATATTTTTAATTATAGTCTTTATATTTTCTATTTTCTATTATATCTTTATAATATTTTTACTTAGTAATCTTTATTGTAATTGTTTTTTTAAATTTCTTGGATTCAAACATCTTATCTTATTTTATCTTAACTCAAAACAATTTGCCATTACAGTTGCAAAGCGTGGCCCCACAGAGGCCTGAACAAGAATTGATTTAAGCCACACACAGTGTTTTTAGTTTTCTCAGCACCGTCATCTTTAGTTTCCATTTGCTGTTAGCCGTGCACATCCCTAAATTCAATGCTCGGTGATTGGATGTTTCTTGTCGTAATTAACGTCTAACTAAAAGTGTATGTTTGCACAAGCTTGTAATGTACCTTTGACTTTTAATTTTTTTAATCCAATTTAATCTCACTTTGCATCTGGTAGCACATTATCAACGGCAGCTATTGGTCTTTTACCTGATTGTGGTTCTTGTGTAAAAATCTAGTTTTAAGGGCTTTATTATATTAGCTGATACAGTGCTTACAAGTTACATATTCCAAGATAAATTAGTTTTGAATCAGGTTGCCACACAGCAAATATGGAGTCATGTTGTATTCCAGGAAAGGGGGCGTCAACAGGGGCCCACCAGCTCATTTTTGCCCTGGGGCCCCTAACAGGTTATTCCGGTCATGCTACAGAGAAAAGAGAACCTAAATGTAAAGTTAATTTGAAGACTAAACTAAACTGCGTACCCGATGTCAAAAACAAACAAGAAACAAGGATACATCAGAATGTCCGCTGAATTACTTTCTCCATACAAATGATTATAAAGTTCTCCTTAGATCCCGTTTGTTGGTGCAGAACAATCCGTAATCTCAACATTTTCATTCTTTCTCCTCTTTTTCCTCCATCTGAGATCAGCGCTGTTGGTCAGGGGAGCAGCTACAGCCGAGAGACAGCCCGCTGGCCTGCAGCCCGTTATTAGGAACAAGAAAGGAATGAATCGCAAAGCAAGCTTTCATTGAGAAATGCCCAAATATAGGCATTTCATGGATGCAGAGGCTGAGGCAGAGAGATGCAGACATAAACTGGCCTGCTGCTGGTGGTGCTGTTTTCTCCTCTGAACACTCAGGATGATGGTGGGTAGACGCCACTAGACAACAGCTCCCACTGTTCCCCCCGCAGCTAATGTAAAGAGTAACAGAAGTCTAAATGTTCTTGATATCTTGTTGCAGTGGTTGAAATTCTCCAAATTTACTTAAGTATCTCAGTTCACACGCAGTACTAGAGGAGTGTGAATCCTTTAAATGTAGTTAGATATATAATTTACACTGCAGGTTGGTTGTTGGTCGTGGACACATATCTATATATGGCTCTGTAGATATTGTGTATGTCCTCAGTAACAGCTAGAGGAAGAGGAATGTACACAGTGGAAATACCTAAATATATTATTAACAGTCTATGATTTCATGTAGATCATAAACCAGCTGAAATCAATGACAGCTCAACAGATATTAAGACATACATACCTTGATTTATCATACTGAAACATATTGCAAAAGTCAGTTATATTTCATTTTACATAACGATATCAGCCAGGCATAACATTACACTTGTGACTTGTCAATGCAAACATACCAGAATCTTTTATTGAAGACATACAGGCTCTGTAAGAAAGGCATGTGTAATCAGATATGACAGAGAGTCCTTCGTTACACAGTACACATATGAGTGCCACTCAGATTTTTGTTCATCACATTAAATTCCTCTGGAAAATGACATTCACTTAAAAGTATGGCCTAAATCAACAGGAGGGTTGACGTAAGCCAGTAATGGTTTTCCAAATCCCCCCTAAGGTTAAGACATGTCGATGTTATTACGTTACAAGTTATGTAAGGTATTCAAACACCCAGGCTACAATGATTCTGTACAAAATATAACATCGGATACTGACGGGCAGCCATTTGCACTTCCTGATAAAAATGCATTATGTAATTATTTCCATGCTAAAACTCTTCCGTCATGCACCAGGATCCCACTGGGCTGCTTTCCAATCTATTAAACCCTGCCTGAGATGTCTTGAGATTTGGCAATGAGACACACAATCAAAGACCACCTTGACCTTTTTTTTTTTCTTTTCTTACCCAGATTTTCTTAAGTCAGGCCGCCATGTTTGTTAATTCCCTGATATTTCCACCATTTCAGAATTCCCAGTTTGAACAGATTTACAACTTAACAACAAGTATACGATGGATTCCCACAAACTCCACAAATAAATAAATGGTCAAACTAATGTCCACTATATCGCTGATAAACTTTTGTATATTAGAATTTTATAGAGTTATTTGAATCTCTTATTATGCTCTTCGCACACTCCGACCACACTCACATTCAGATGCATACACAAGCCAACATGTTTATATGATCAGCTTCATATTATCTAGTGCAAATAACCAGCGAAGCGTCAATATGAACTGAAGACAAAACAACCACAAAACTCATGGCGCTCTCTGCAGTCGGCAAATAGAGAGTCCCACATCACTCATTCTCCACAGAGTCCTTTTGGTCCAGTGTTTGAGGGGAGAACTCATAGTGAGGGCTATTCATCCAACCGGTGGGCCATCTCATGTTTCTCTATCCGTCCCACAGCACAGTTCTTCGACTGCATCCCTGGGAATATAGAGTTTATCTCCTTGAAAACCTGTGGTGAGATGTCTGTTCTCTCCCCTCTCTTCTTTTTCATTTTATATTCCAACAGGAAATATTACTGCAGCCACTTTGGCACCGGCACCTGTGGGGGGAAAGAAATTAAATGTCAGTATGTGAGAATATATTGTGGCTGAGCTAAGCTATCCATAAACCCATCTTACGTACCTTCTTGAGTTGTTTAAGATCGCTTCCTCTGATCGAGGCGAGCAGTTGGTCCCTTGAGTTCTTACTACCGCCGGGGCTTTTTCCATCCAGCTTCCTCTGCGACACCGGAGTCAGAGAGTTCCTCAGGGAGTCTACATCCAGCATAGGAGGCGGAGGAGGAGGAGGTCCACCCCCTGGAGGAGGTGGAGGTGGCGGTGGAGTCGGACCTCCACCGGCTCCTCTTTTAGGAGTCAGCTTTGGTGATGGCATGGGTGAAGGTATGGGAGAAGGTTTGGGGGAAGCTTTGGGTGAGCTTCTCAGAGATCCTCCACCACCCATCTTGGGCACCTCCAGCGTTCCCTTCTTCTCCCCGTTGGCCTGGGCTTGCTTCTGCTCCTGCAGGCGCTTCTGCCTCTGTCGGTCCATGTTTCGACTCAGTATGTTTGTTGTGGTCATTCTGGGTCCAGCTAACTCAAAGTGGTAGCCCAGTTTGAGAAGGGTGGTGTTTTCTTTCAGGATCTTGGTCATCTCCATCTCGGTCTTCCCGCCACAGATGTGTCGCTGGTTCTGAAAGCGAAGCTCGGTCAGCGTGGAGTTGTGCGGCAGAGCCTGGATCAGAGACAGGATGCCCTTGCCAGTGAGGTGGTTGGAGTCCAGGTTGATGCTGGTGATAGTCTTGTTGTTGCGTAGCGTGCCCGCGATGGCGTAAGCCACGTGGTCGTCTGCACGGCAGTTGGCCAAAGCAAACTTCTTAACATTGGTGTTGTTGCGCAAAGCCTCCGCAAACTCAATCAGCGTTTTCGTCTTGATGACTTCTGAGTTGTTGACGTTGAGTTCAGCGAGGGAGGGGTCGTTGCTTCGAACCTGCTCCATCAGTTCATCAAACATGCTTGAGTCTTCATCCTCTTCCTCTTCCTCTTTCCCCTTGCTGTTTGGGGTGGTTTTGGCCACGCAGTTACCAACTTTCTCAGTTTCTTCAGCTTTTTTAGCTTTTCCTTTAACATCTTCTTTTTCCTTTGTCTCCCCTACTTTCTTCTCTGTGCTAGTCTTCTTCTCCTTCTCTTTCACGTGGTCACTGTGGTTAACCAGCTCTTCTCTGTCTGTTCTTTTTTCCGCCTTGTCATGTTTCACCTGCACCTCGCCCCTCTCAGATGGTTGTCGCTCAAGTTTGACATCAGGCTTGTTTCTATCTTCAGCTTTTTTCTCCTCTGCTTTAGGCTTCTTCTCTTCTGGTTTACTCTCCGGAGCCTGGCTCTCCTGTGCCTTGCTCTGCTTCTCCAACATTTTAGAGACGAGTCCTTGCGTCCTGAAACTCTCAGATTTCCTCTCCTTTTCCTTGCCGACATCCTTTTCGTGTTTTTCTCGCAGCTTTGAGATAATGTCTTTGGTTTTGCTTTCATCTTTTCTCCTTAAGTCTTCTTTCCTCTCCTCTCTGCTGTCATCCTTTTTTTCCTGTAACTTAGAGATCATATCCTTTGTTTTGCTACCCGTGCTCTCTCTGGTTTCTCTTTTGTCTCTTACCTTATTGTCCTCACGTCTCTCTCTCTCTTTGGTCTCATCTTTCACGTCACTCTCTCTGCTTTCCTGCTTCCTGTATCTACTCGAAAGCCGACTTCGCTCCTCTTTTGAACTTTCAGGACCTTTGCTGTTTCTGTTGTCCACTTTAATATCTCCTTCACTTGAGACACTAGCTTGTCTTCGTAGCCCTACTTTCATGTCGTCGTTCCCCTCCTGGCTCAGGCCCCTCTTCCTCAGATATTCCTGCTTCCGGCTCTCCTTCTTTTGCTCACCCTGCAGGAGGACAATTATGAGGAGTATGATGTGGACAATGATATTAGCGTTATGTAAGAAAGTAAAGCAGTTTAATATATGCCAATACCAAAAACAAACAATTACAGGGTTTAATCAAACTTCCTCGTGCAGGAGCGTGTCAAAGGGTGTAGGGCTTTGTGCCAAAATAAATCACAATAGATACTCATAATTTAAAGTATTTATTGACTATACAGTACAGATGTACAGTACATAATGCATGACATGTACAGTATCATATAACACCTAACCGTGCAAATACTGTGTTCAAACAGCTCCTCGTCCATCTGCTCACTGTAAACACACACACACACTCTCCCTGAGACAATATGGCATTTGTGTTTACAGTCAGCAAAAGGACAAGGATCCATTTTTCATAGAGCAGGGATACATTTGCAGCGAGTAGCTTGCAAAGTGTTTGATTTGTGAGTCTCCATCTGTTTTGCTGTGTGAGGCCGTGGCCCTGGCAGATGTATCCTTAAAAGGCAGTGAGTGTAGGAGCAATCAACCAAGGAATTCCATCAGGCCCCGGGATTAAGATGCTCTGCAGGGCCGCCGCTCCATCGACTGAAGTGCCTCGGCTTTAAACACACAAACTGCAAGAAATCTGGCTCCCCAACACTCAACCGGGGAGGGCTCGAAAAATGTTTTAGAGCATGTCAAAGAAATAAAATAAATAGTTTGGTGTTTTTCTGAGACTACTTCACCGCTTGTGAGAAGATGATTGAGAATGTGAAGTGGATGTAAGCAAGTCTCTGAGGGGAAAACAATGTTTTTCCTGGCACAGAAGCCAACTCTACACTATTTATGAGCTGATGGACTCAGGGTGCATGGGGTCCAGTTGGTGGTTTGCTTCGAGCACATGAAAGCTATCATTAGAATACCTCTGGGGCAGTGGATGTTACATAATGCTGTAATCTATCAGTCATAAGTACAAACAGTTGTTTAATTTAATAAACTCTTATAAAGGTCACCCATCTGGAGGTGATATTTTTTATTAAAAACTGCTGTTAGGGGCTCAAATACAAACATTTTAAGAGACTAAAGGATCTTAAAGAATATGTAGATCACACTTAAACACTTAAAAACCCAACATGTTACTATACCAAATAAGGAATCAAGTCATGCATTCACAAACCTCAAATGACTGTTCCCTCTGACTGAGCCTCCCTTTAGGATCACCCTCCCGTTTGCTGTCCTGTTTAGCGTCTCGGACGTTGTTACTCGTAGGTGGCTGCCCAGGTTGGCTCTCCCCATGGACGATGATCTTCCCATCCTCTGGCTTGATGTCTGGCACTTTCATCATGTCCTTCTCCAGCTCCTCCACCTCCTCGGGGGAGAGGGTGGACAGCAGGTTGTCCAGGTCAGGGTCCTCGCTGACCTGGCGTCCCGTACGGGTCAGGCCTCTCACTTTTCTCCTGGACATGGTTGCCTAAAAAGCTACGCCCGTGGAGACAATCAGAGAAATCTGGTTTCTTTAGCGGGGCTGATGTTAGTACAGTAAATCCCTTTATTCAAAATCTGATTTTTGTGTGATTTCTCTCCTATGGTGAGCAGCTGAGTATTCCCATCGGCCAAAGATGTTGTCCTGCTGTCCCGTCACGTCCCGCTCACCAAAAAGCCACCAGAGGCATCAATCCTGGGGGAAAGAGGCTGGACTCGCAGTCCTGCAGTGAGGGGTACCAGTGATGAACTGCAAGAGCCTCGCATCATCAAAGTGGACTGTGAGGCTGGGACATTCTTCGAAATCCTGTGAAAGTGCATGTCCATATTTAGTTCAGGGTATACACTCCTTTAAAGGTAATGGGAAGGGCTGAAGTTTACAGAGATGTCAGAGCAGAGTTACACAGACTTCCTATTACACAATTCATGTTTATACTGAGACCAGTTCATGAATTTTTTGTTTAGTAATGACTCTAATTTTAACGGTTGAGTAGTTCTGACACGTGTTTCTTTTAGGAGCTTTTCTTATTAGTTGAAAAGTTAAAAATATTGTTTTGTCTACAGGAGCTCCATATAACACCAGCAGGCCTGTGATTTAGGGGGAAACAGATGAAGTATGTGTTCGATTCACATGGTCAATAAATAAGTGCAGTGAACTGTAGGGTGACGTAGTCTTGAGGCTGTGCTAAGCCTCCTGCTGCAATACAATTCAGAAACTTGGTAGATTTCAAAACATGTATGTATTAAGTTAAATACTAATTCCTACTTTAAAGTATTCAAAAGTTGTTTAAAATAAAATAAAGTCAATATAACATGAGAAGAATATTCTCTACAGTTTTAGTGAGGAACTGAAAATCTGCAGCACAAGAAAAAGAAATGTTTTAAAATAATTGAATGGACAAAGATTTAAATGTGTGATCAGAATAACATGTTGACATTATTGTACAAAGGATAGTTTAATTCTTTTATGAGGCTACTTTTGATGTCAAATGTTTTATGGAAATTGTTATTTATTATACAGTCTATAATAAAAAGCTAGTGTAGAAAGAAATCTGTTGCATTATTCTCTACTGTTTTCTTTTATCCCTATTGTTAATATTGATTTTGAAATTATTTACAGACCACAATAAAATTTCAACAAAATAAATACATAAAAAAGAAAAAGCAGAGAAAGGGTAAAAATTTGCATTAGAAAAATAAATATCTAAGTCTAAAAAGTATTAAAATGCTAAACGTATATTGTCCTGATATGCATGTGGGCTGTATACAAATATAACATGCATGTCACAGTTGTAAGGTAAACTATAATATAACTAATAATAACCTGTTTGAGTGCAAATATGCAACTTAAAAATAACCTTTTATAACAACAATCTGTGTTTTCAGGGACAAACATTACCTTTGTATTAGTTCCTTGAGGTGACAGTGCGACAGATTTAATACAGTTTGGAGGTTAATATGGACATCTAGTGGTCAAAATGATGAAAACCCTTACTGATTATATTTCCTGGAGACAAAAAGACACAGCAGACATTTGTATTTTACATTCCAAAGTTAAATTTTATGTTAATAGAAATAAAAACTTTCCACTAACTTTATATTACAATGTCGTACCATCCATATGACGACAGACAAAAAAAGCCACCGAGTTATTTTGCCGTAACAGATGTCACTTTCATTAAACACACTCATGGAGTTGGTTTTAGAAGCACAAATAAACAGAAACATCATTGAGCAAATGTTATGTCAAACTACATATGAAAGCATCTTACAAAGAAAAGTCCAGTGTTCTCTTTGTGCTTTTCAAAAGTCTCAGATAATCTGTACACGTGGACGTCGCCGTCATAGGAAACCTTTCATGCTGTAAACGAGCAGTAATGGGTCTTGTCTGATTCATTGCGTGGTTTAAACACTGAGACAAGATACAGCATTGAGTCTTAAGGAGAAGTTTGGCCAGGCTTCTCTTTTTAATGTGTTTCATTTGACTTTAAGTTTGAGAGAAATTCCACCTGAATCAAGATAATCTGGCCATCAGCTATCAATCGTCAAACAGCAAACTGTACAACACATGCTTGAGACATCATGTTCTACAGTTCATAGATTTTTTTTTTTTTTACAAGGAGCACAGATTAATTACACGTTACAGGCCGTGACCTCACTGGAGCCCAAATCTGAGGGTGGGAATTTAAAGGAACAGTTTGACATTTTAGGAAATACACCAGGCGTAGACTATCTGCTTTCTTGTCAAGTTAATACCAAATGAGGAGATTGATACCACTCACATCAGGGGGGGTAAACTAGATGTATGTTAGCTAACTGGTCCAGCCACAGCCAGTTAGCTCAGTGTAGCACAAAGTCTCAAAACAGCTGGCCTGGCCCGGTCCAAAGGGGACAAAATCCCCCTACCAGCGCCCCCAAAAGCCCATTAATTATCATGTGGATGTATACAGATGTACAGACGTCCGCTCTCAGCAAAGAAATAGACTCTTCTGCCATATAACATCCCATAAAACAGCAAATTGTTTGACATTTAGGTTTCTATGGGGATTAAACAAACAAACAATAATTGCTTTATAGAGCTTTTTGTCGCCTTTAGATGCAGCCAGGCAAGCTGTTTCCCCATTATCTCAGTCGGTTGCTAAGCTACGCTGAACGGCTGCAGCTTAGCTAGCGACATAGTTACCTTACAGACATGAGATTGGTACCGACATTCTCATCGTAACTACAGGCAGGACAGCAAATCAGAACATCCCCCAAAATGTTGAACTATGGGAGCGGAGGTCAACAGTAGTGATTTTTGGCTTTGCAGCTTGTCCAAAAAGTGAGAACCCATTCACAGTAAAAGGTAACTGCAATAATAATAATAATAATAATAATAATAATAATAAATACCCAATGGAAAGATGCCAAAATGCTCAAACGTCATATCGTATGTTACAATAACAATACATTAGGTCTAAAATAACTTGTTACAATATCATAAAATATTTAGCTGAAGAACAGATTTACAAAATATGTATTTAAATAGTTAATCTCTTTTTTTCTTCTTCTCGTGGTTAATTATTGTAAGGCAGGACATTTTGTTTTAATCAAGCAGCATGACCTGCAACTCCCCTGACCTGATATGTTACAAGGAAAAACAAAAATAAACAGTTAACATGAATTTTCACTGTAAAACATCCTAACTGGCATTATGGGTTTAATCTAAAGACTCATTTTCTAATTCATTTAAAACCAGAAAAGAAGCATTAGAGGACAGATGACTTTGACTTGGGGTAGCATGCTGATGTTGAGATGTTACATCACAATGGTGCAGCTAATACACTACCATGAAGTAAATTAGTCGAGTCAGACACAAAAACAAAAAGAAGACAAACTAACAGGTGACTAAAAGCTTCTCACACAGAATTAGGAGAACCTTAAAATCCATTAGGCCATCTGAGAACATTTAAGAGAGTACTGCACTGCCTTTGAGCCACAAGTGTCACCTCTTTAATCAAACATGCGATTTGTTTGTTTTTTTACCCGATACTACATTACAAAACAAAAAAAAAGCCCCCAAACCATCAAATACAGAGATAAAGACATCATGATCACATTTGGAGAAAGACCAAGATGACGTGGAATGTAGACTTAGGCAGGTATCAATTCATTCAAATTTTACTAAAAGGGAAGAAGTAAAAGCATTTCACCCCCCCTTAAATACCAAGAAGAGGGAGAGCATTATCATTTATGTAAATCCCTCCTGGCCCCCTCTCCCGTTAGGTAATGAGCCCTGTCGTTAAGTGACAACCTGTCATTGAGGTGAGGGTGTCAGAGCAGGAGGGGGCAGTGCAGAGTTCAGCCGTATGACCTCCTCACTTTTGGGGGATGGTGTGACGCCCTCTGCGAAAACCCGCCGGGAGCAATCAGGCGCCATGTTGCAGAACACAATTTCACTTACGTAAATACTTCAGAAAAGTAGGACAATGTTGTAAATAAACAAACAAACAAACAAAAAAAAAACCTTAAAGTGCCTCCTGTTCTCTTTAAAACAGGCAAACCACTGCTAGTCAAGCTGTAGTGTTTGAGTGTATGTGTGTCTGTTTGAGTGTGTGAGAGAGCGTTGCTGCCTTCTCCTTTTGAAACAGTCATTTTTCTTTCAGCTGCGGTTGTTTCCCACTGTCTGTCTGTCTGTCTGTCTGTGTGTGTGTGTGTGTGCGTAGACGAGCCCCATCAATGACCAGGATACTGAGGTGGAGAGTAAGGTGGAGGGGCTGAAAAATAAGGAGGTGGAAACATGAAAGAAAGTCAGATCTTTATTTATATACTATCACGATTACATTAAGAATCAATTACAATCACCAACTTCAGTAGGGTTCATCTTCAAATTCACCAATAGTTGACCAAAGTGACTGACACTGACATCCCTACAGCGACTAAAAATGTAAAATGTGTCCTTAAGATGGCACTAGAGGAGAGACCATGCATGGAGTCATTAGAATTAAAAAAGGTTTATGCCCTTGGAAGCAGGAAATGTGAAAATTGCACCACATTTTATGGCAATTCTGCCCTCTAAATATAGATATCATGCATCAAAGTTCACCTTTTCAACTGGCGCTGGTGCAAAAGGACAGTATGAGGGAGCGTGAATATGATCAGTAAATCTTGTAGCAATTTGCCAATTAGTTTCTTGTGTTTCGTGTGAAGATTGTGGCCTGATGTTAGTGCTGCTCGAGAGATCGGGGGGTCACCCACACATCCTGTGGACCATAAATACCTCCCACAGTTTTCATAGCAATCTAGTTAGTGGATGTTAAAATATCTTGTTCAAATGACCTAAAACCAGCAACACTATCTTTATTCAGCTTGCAGACGTTTTCATTCAAGGACCCCCACAATAAATGCACATTAGACTATGGAACTCTAATTTTAGAGGATCTTGTCTTGAGGAATCCCCTCTTAGCAATGTTTTTATTTTTAGGTTTGAAGATAATATGCCTTCATAGTCAATCATTGATCCAACTGTATCACTATAAATTACAATCAATAAAAAGAGCGAACGCTGTTTCATCTCTTGTAGTTCAAACTTTCAAAAAGAGGGACCCCCTATAACATACTCAAGGACCCCTGTTGGTCACCAGACGTCAGTTTGAAAACCACTATATTAGCACATTATTTGTTTGCATTCATTTAACGTTTTAAAAATATATTTTAGACTCATTTTTTTTGTCAGAGCGAAAGAACAACGGATGATGAACATGTGGAGACCTAATGCTACTCTTACCCTGGCTGTACGCAGGATCCATCAGGTGTGGTGGATAAGGTCCAGGCTGCATCATCGGGTACTGTGGAGGCATGCCAGGGTACTGGGGCGCCATTGGATAACCCCCATGTGGATACTCAGAAGGTCCCAGTGGTTTTCCATAAGCGTCATACATAGGCTCCACTGGGTAGTTGGACATGGGGATCTGCTGGGCTGTGGGTTGAAAAAGTACAGACTGATGTAAAGGAAAACTATAACCTTATGGTTGTCTGCACAAGCATGGACGTAAAGAGCAGAGGATCTCACCATCGTAAGGTGTCCTACCCCTCTGCTGCCTTCTCTGGTAGAGGTAACAGCAGGAGCACATGAAGCAGCAGACCATGGTCGCGATGATGGCCACAAACAGGAGGATGGAGGAGGCGATGCCAGCCAAAGTGGTGGGGCTGAGAAGAGAAAAAAAGAAGAGTACTTAAGTTACAAAGGATTTTCTTTCTTACTTTGATCATCCAGCCTCACGTTGTTTCCTGCCCCTCTATCTCGCTCATTGCGGCTCACTACGGAGAGGATTAAAGCGGAGATGGCTGTGATGTGAAGCTTTTCAAAACACAGTTTGCCACAGACTGACCCTGAATTCACATCTGAAGTTAATGACGTACAACCCTGAGTCTCTCAGTCTCTCCGCCAGATTCCACCGTCTCATAGTCTCAGTAGAGCAACAAAGCCCTCCATTACAGCTCAGCCTCCGCCACCCACTGATCTGATCTCCTATCGGGCTTAATAAGCTGCAGGTTGTCTGCTCACTACTGGATCGTGATGGATGGTTTCCAGCGCTGTGGAGGAAAACTGCCATGTTGCAGTCTCTTAGGTACAAGCTTGCTTATTCCAGCATTATCACGATCCCTCACGGGGGACAGGGCATTAAACACCACTGATAGTGCAGGTAGCTGATGTAATAGAACGACTAATGAGAACATATTACACTGCGGGGACCAAAGTAGGGACATTAAGTCAAATGGAGCCAAATGGACATGGGAACAGGCCTGTTTAAGGGTGTCTAGACTTTTAGAAATTGCTGACAGAATGAAGATCTGTACATAATAAGGTACTTCAACCCATCACCAGATTCCTTCACTTCAAGTGCAATTTTAGTGTTGTATGTTTGTAAGATCTCCATCCTGGTTGCGACACCTGTGGTTACTGGTGGTAAGAGCAGCAACACTCTCCTCCAACTCTGTCAGAAATTACTACAAAATAAGAGCAAGTGGTGATATTTGTTTACGGTGCAGCCAAATGAAGAAGTCAGGGAGGTCCATCGTTCTGTGAACAACCGTGATCTGATTTTATGCTGCATGAGTCTGCGAAGGGGAGGGCGCAGAGAAAGGAGCCGGGGACCTGGCTGAGAAGTCGCAGTTGCTCAGCCTATTGCCTGTAGCTCTTTATCTAACCGCTCACTACGACTGCCCTTTCCTGTTTTATTACTCCCTACAATATTTCGAACTGATCCACTGTCCCAAAAAAATGCTGGAATTGCATTGGCAGTTAATCCAGCACTTTTTTACGGGTCCACACGGACCCATAGTTTGTAAAACTACAAATGCGAGGGCTTTGATCAGTGGGTCACAGGCTCGATCACCATTATGTTACCTCGTTCTGCGATAGATAGTGACTTAAGAGACATTGCATGCAACTTCCTTATCTCCTCCTCATAGATATTTGAGGAAGCATCTACCAGGGATTGGATTTTTTTGTGCAGACTGTGGCAACAAATTTCCTCAAGCGGGACGTGAAAGTATCTGTCTGCCTTCAGGCAACGAAGGATACGCAATCCTGCAGCGATAGCCTTGAATAGTAAACACAAACACTGACTCTCGGTGTCGAGTAAATTTAATAAATAAGTAATTAAATTAAAATCCTGTTGCTGCCGCCGAACCCCACCTGAACTGGAAGAGCATGCAGCGTTTCTGCTCCCTCTCTGTGATCATCTTGAAGGCGTCCAGGCAGCAGTAGCGCCGGTGGCAGTTCCCACAGCAGAAGGTGATGAGAGGGCAGTCGAAGCCATTGTGCCAGGTGCCGTTTTTATCCACGTACCACAGACAGTCCTCATTCCCACTGACTGCAACACAAATATAATACAAAGTGTGAGGCGGGATTGACGCTACAGGGAAGATAAAGGGGGAAAAGAAAAGAAGGAAGCAGCAGGCCCGACAGTTTGTTCTCTAAAAGAATTCCCTTCTTACGATCTCGGTTTTTACAGACGTGCTGTCGTTTCTGCTAAATGACACAGTTTTAAAAAAAAGTCAGATATCGCTTTGTTCTGCCTTCTGGAGAGTTTAAATATGTATTTTGAACATGTATTGGTTCTTCTTTCTTTGCATCTTTCTTTAGTCAGGCCAAACACAGTCAGAATGCATTATTCAATGGCTCCTCGTAGCAGAGGTTGAAAACTGATTAAGGCTCAAGTAAGGTACTCGGGAGATTTAAAGGGACTTGTGCGTCTGAAATATAAAGTATATTTATTAATTCTAGGACTAAAACTAAGGATTATTTCCATTCAATTGGTCTTTTTTCGCCCTAATACTCAACTAATCTCTTAAAACAAGGATGCACCAATCTGATATTAATATCAGTCCAATAGTAACCCAAATATCTGAATTTCAACAAAATAATTAATTTACTATAATGTTAGAGAAGGCAAAGCAGCCTCATTCTCATTTGATTTCTAATTCTATTATTATTAATATTATTATTTCTATTTGAGAACCCGTACATATCAATGTTGCTTGAAAAATTACCAAAATTTGCACAACTTCCAGTTATCTAGTTGGGGATTACTTTTATATAGCTTAACTAATTGTTGCAGCTGGTTTATTTGTATAGTGCAGAATCAAACTGATCTAAAGTTATCTCAGGACACTTTTCTTATAGAGCAGGTCTAGACCGAGCTCATAAAATGATTTACAGACGCAACAGTTCCCTAGATGAATTAAAATGTTGTTTGTTTTTTGCCACTGACAGTAAAAGGACAATCTAATCAACACTTTAACACATGATCAACTATTTTCAAACAAAAGTGGAGACATGACGTGATGATCTGTGGTGTTATAGTTCTGTGGTCTCTTGGGAGACATCATAAGGTATACTGTCTTTCAGAAGAATAAATACACAGTAAGTACTAAATCAGGTTGCGAGGAGCTGGTGTGATTATGTTTTTTCACAACGTAGAATTTACGGCTCACTAAATTACAGCCCTGTCACAACAGCCAAATGTGTCACAACCACTGACACATACAGTACCTTTGACAATACAAATACTGTACGTAAACACCACATGTATCCTGCTCTTCCATGTCGGGCTGAGGATTTTTCGAAGTGTATTAAACTGATGGAAACTCCATTAGAGGATCTCTGCAGTACAGTGTTGAGCCAAGGTCTATCACAGACTTGGCTCCTGGAGCAGTTTAGACTAATTTTGGATGCTGACCTTTGAGTGCTGGCACAGAGAATACTTATTCTGCCATTTGATATGAACCTTGGTATTACTACATCCATTATTCTGTGTACTATTAGTATTATTTGGTTGTTTACACGACTGTATGCACACAATGCTACCTTTGTGAAGTCCCTCTCCACTCAGAAATACACACTTCTTGTTGTTGTTCCTACAGTTGGATGATCTTCATTGTGCAGGACGATGTGTGGAAAGTTTCTCTGTGCGCTGATTTTTTTTTTTAAGGGCCGGGGCCTACGAGCATGATCTGTGCCATCACAAATAGTTTAGGAGTCAACCCTGGTCCCGTCTGCAACTTATACAAGTGTGAAGCTTCAAGTGCACAAACACTGCGAATGAACAGTGAAGTATGAGACATCTTGAACACGTCACACACAATATTGTTTCAGCATATTTTCATATGTCTCTTAACACATGTTCCGGAGAGGATATTTAGCTTATTGAAAAGTTAAATAAAAGCAGGATAACGACAACAAGTCACATGTAGATCACTCTGAATGGCAACGACCTGTATAAACTGTGTTGTACAAATAAAGTTTGACTGATATGTCTCTAATTATATAAACTAAGCTGTAACTTAGCTGTAAACTACCTACTGTGTTGGATAATAAATACCTTTTTGCATTGCTAGATATATGTTAAAAACCCCAAAATAAATAGTACATTTAACTGAGAAGCTCACTGCCAGGCTAATGTAACGTTAAATGATATCCTATTAATGTAGGAGGATCTATTGGCAGAAACTGAATATAATATTAATAGGTATGTTTTCATTAGTGTATAATCACCACATTATGAGAATTATTGTGTCTTCGTGAGCTTAGATTGAGACATTTTTAATCTACAGACACCACGGGTTGCCTTCCATGTTGGACTGCCATGTTTTCTACCTCAGAACAAGTTAATAACTGGCATAGTCAAACATACTTAATAGGCTTCTTTTTTTGGACAAATTCAGTGTTTCAAATGCTGAGATAAAGGCATAATATGTACATTTTTCAAGTTTTCTTACACCCATTAAAATCAAGAAGGCTTTCACTACACCCGGTGAAGCTTTGGCGACCCCTAGTGGAGGTCCCGATCCCCGCAGGTTGACACCACCGCTAACAAACCTACTCATCCTATTTAAACAAAAACCTAACGTCAAACACAACAATGTAAACAAACACACAGAAACCGGTGAGACTAGTTCACATTAGACTGAACAAACGCTAAAAAAAAAAGAAAAGAAAGAAGCGGTCGGACATTAAAACTGTGTCCAGTAACGGTTCTCCAGGCCTGAAAACAAACACCGAGGTAAACAGCAGGAGCTCGTGATGACCGGCCGATGGTCAGGTGTAACGGTTGGAACACACAAGCGGCCACGCGCACAGCCGTTAGACCGTGGATGTATAAGAAGAGAACGCTAACCGTTATTTTTATTTATTTATTTTTAAATGAAAAACCCGTTAGCTACAGCGGCGCGCGGCCTGGATGGAGAGCCATATAATCTTACCCGGAGAAGTGCAGAGGACGACGGTGAGCAGCGCCAAAGTCAGCGCGATGACAGACATGTTGCCCGTCGGAGAGATCATCTCCCTCATCCCGATTCCTTGGGAAAAAAAAAAAACAAAACAAGCGAGGTTTTCTTTCTTTTTCTTATTTTTTTTTTTAAAGAGGAGTCCGCCTTTTCATCGGTGTAAACGTAACAAAGAAAGTAGTCGGACTAGCGGGCGTCCTCACGCATTACCCGGGCTCGGCGGCGGGCAGGCAGCAGGGAGACGGGACGGCTTTGTCGGTCGGTAGTTTATCCGTCGAAATGACACATCGCGGCTGCTGTGACGCCGTTCAACCGGGACGAGGAGGATGATGCGTTCAAGTGCTGCCGGAAACGTCGGAAATGATCTCCATCGGTTCACAATAGACGAGCTGCGGGGACCGAGAACGCAACAGTTTGAACACCATAGTTATCTTATAATACTTATTGTACTTTTTTTATTTTATATGCCTACCCCTGACTAAGTGGCATATGTTATTGATATTTCACATTATATTCAATGTTTAACAATATAAGTGCAGAACTGTACAATGAACCCAAACAGTGAACAAAACAACTGCATCAGAAATTAGTTTTTCTGGTATTTTTTAGTAAAGTTTTACACAATTCTCGGTCTGTATTATGTTTTTATTTTATTTTTTAACTATCATACATACTTAATAGGCTTCTTTCTTGATAAATATTGTTTTCTTCTCCCTGGTACTATTATCTGTGTGCTTAGTTTTCTAATGCAGGATGAGGCTGTTTATCAGAGAGTGAAGACCCTGTAAATATACCTAGTGTTCAGCTCTTTAAAGTTAAAGTTTAGATCTTAAATAACAACAGAAACTTTATAAATAACACTTTTATTTAGTTTAGTTAAGCTTCGGTGACCCCCAGGATGAGAGCGACTGTGTTAAAGCATTAGTGATAATAATCCTATACAACACCATGAAATGGGCAATTCTCTATAGTAAGTTGTTTTTACTTTTAATAGCCTACTTTAAAGTATATTTTACAAAAATAATACTTATGTACTTTAATAAAACTTTTATTCTTGTGTGTATGTATATAAGTGTATTTTTTATTTTTAAAAATAACCTGCATACTTACACTTTACATACATATATTAAACAACAGATTTAGGTGTAACACGGTTGTTAGTAATTAAAATCGGGGTGGTTATCGGTTAGAAACTCACTCCATTACTTCATAGCAGCTGACATTTACGAGCAGCACTGAATGCACCATGAGAGGTCACTCCGCCCCGCCCTGGTGAAAGAGATTTGCCATCGTCTGGATTCTACCATGCACCTGATAAAGACAACTCCTCCTCACGATGTTACACAGAGAGCAGAGAGAGAGTGAAGGCATTTCTTTATATATTATCGAGGAGAACAAACAAACAATTTGTTTCAGGTTAAAAATTAAAAATAAATGTGCTGTATAGTTATAGTTGGGGCATCATGGGCACAAGTTTTAGTGGTTAGACTGTAAAAAAAAAAAAAACATACACACAAGCAAACTTTCAGTGAGGGTTGCAGGCAATGTGAGGCTGGTGCAGAAATCAGTTCATCTCTGTGTTTAAGATCAATGATGAATGCAAAGAAGAGCTAACAGCTAACAGCTCCCCCTTGTGGAAAATCTGCAGTCTGCTGGATGTCAGAGGCAACCTGCTTCTAAAAATGGAAAACTGTACAATCAAAAACTACTATCAGGAGGTAAAGCACAAATAAACACTTTTGCCTGATTACTGTGTGAGCATGTGCAGACTTGTTGCACCTTTATCACATTTTTATCCGTCATATTTAGAGAAGCACAGGCGTTACAATTTATATTTTTCTGTCTCTGTTGTATTGAAGCGTCCCAGTGAGGCCGCATGCACAAACCAGGACCCTGAGTGGATTTCAGCCATCATTTATTTCATCATTTACACCTGTGCTGACCCCACGGGTCCAAGTATCTCTCCTGTGGAAGAGGCCACAGCTCCTCCAACTTCAACCTGATCTGACGTCTAATTACACAGAATAAGTGAAAACACCTGTGTGGGTGTTCGGGGACTTTAACCTGCTGGTTTTAATCCTTTTGAATTTTCTATCAGATCAAGACGGATGAGGTTTTGCTTTGGCTTACAATTCGTTTTGGGTATATCGGTGTAAGTTGCATTACACAGTAAATAATAATATCAGTAAATAATGTAGTTTAAAACAGAAGTATCTCAATTTATTCTATTCTGATGAATTATTCAACACTTCAAGTCCCCTTTAGCATTTATAAGCAGTATATAAACATTTAATAAACACTTTTATCTGCTTACAACTTCATTATAGTGTATTATATTTATTAAATGCTCGTATACTGTTTATACATGCTAAATAATGGGACTTAAAAACCAAGTTAAACATTAGAATTAAATCATAATTGACTGAATTAAATGCAGTTTATGTGGCTTTACACTAAAAATTGCACACATCTCACTCCATTTCTTTCTCTAAGTTAAGATTGATTGTTTATTTCTGTCAAATTATTCTATTTGAGCTGTAACATTTGTAGGTTACTGATAAAAATGTAATGAAACCAACTTATATTGTACAATGAATTTATAATAAGTGCAGATCTGTAAACCAAGACACCTTTAACGTCTTAATTTTCCTTAAAAAAGGTTAAAAAAAAAAAAAAATGAAGGTACGCAGTGCAGCAAGATGCCAGTCTGAAGCAGCGTGACGAGCGACAGTTTCCCCCAGTGGAAATATTGTGTATTCAGTTTTAAATGTCAGATTTTATTAATAAAAATGTGATTAAAGACCAGTGTGTATTATTCCCAGCTCAGGGAGACAACAGAGGAATCTAGAAATCAATCTGGAAATGTTGTCCCTCCAGGACTTTTATTTAGAAATTTTTTTCCATCCCAAATCTCAGTGGGTACAAGGACAAGGCTGTGAATCACCATGGCAACAGTGTGAATTCCCGAATACCCACCGTACCCTGAGACATGACAGCCGGTCGAAGAGCTTTTCATTTCCTGTCAGAAAACGAGCGGCGGTTTCAGGAACGTAAGGCCGCCAAAACGTTTCTCTCCCTCTCCAAACATCGGGAAGTTTTATTTTAGTTTGAAACTTTTTCCTTCAATCAATGTAAAGTCTCTTGCAAGTGTTTTCCCATGTCGCATTTTTACTCTGTTTACACAAGAAACACAAAAATAACGGGCTAAGTTACAACTCGGACACGGCAAAGTCATCTGTTCATATTTTTCACGGTTCACCTGTCCCACTGCGAAGACTCAACCTTTTTCTTTTTTTAAATTCATCCTCTCGTCCAGTCTGAAATTAACTCTAAAAACGGTGAGTCCTCTGACCTTCTTCAAGAACAGACCCCGAGGCAGTCCTCTCACCTCTTCATCTTCCTCAGAGTAACATCTGCAAAGTCCTTCATCCCATCACAAGTATGTAGAAACGGGAGTTACGGGTAAGTGCATGGTCCATCTCTTTTAACCCCTGTCCCCCTTTTTTCCTCTGCCCGGCCCATCAGCCCACGTTTCTTTCCTCCCTTTTCTTTACTATGTTGTAAATTCATCATGAGAGCAGGAGTGATGGGGGGTTGGGTGGGGGGCAATAGAAGAGAGGGCATTTTAAGTGGAAGAAGATGTGTTGGAGCGGCAGACGGCGGGGCTAGAGGCCTATAGACTGCAGGGTTTGTCTCTCGGTGTTGTTGAGGTGTCCTGAGAACATGCTGTAACATGGCTGCTGGGCGAACTGCGTCAGGAAGTCTGTCAGGTAAGCCTGGGAAAAGACAGGTGATACAGAACAGGTTAATTATTGATAGACTGATCACTGATTAGGTCGACCAGAGCACAGGGAGAGAGAGCCTGGAGCTAGTGCACATTCAGCCTCAGATTAGGGCGGTACAATTCATACATTATATTACATTACATACATTATTGCATATTTAAAGAGTTTTTAATAAAAAAAAAAAAAAAAAAAAGGTAAAATGTGCGACAAAACAGTGTCATGATGAAGTACTGTAGTGCTGCAGAGACACCCTGGCCTGAAAAAGTCTTAATAGTTTTTGTTTCAGTGAATCAATCCCACTAATCGTGAATCATATTTGTCAACACAATCGACTGTTTTTTTTTTTATCGTATCGTGCCGTCCTAGTTCAGATTTACTAAAGTGTGTAAATAAAACAGGTAGGAGACCACCGTCCACAAAAGAGGGAGGGGATCTAGGCGCAATTAAAAACCTCTTGTAGATTTTAGACAATTAATCTAAAGCGTTTATATGAGTAATCAGAATTTTTGTATGGTGCCTAAAATATCAACATTTTAAACAAAGTTGTTTCCGTCTCTTCCTCTCAGGTAGTAAACGGCCGTTACAGTATCTGCAGATATCAGCCTGATGTGTGGCCAGGAGACAGCAGGAGATAAATTGGTGTGTGGACTTTTCTGTTCTATCTGCTGACAAAGATTGTGTCTCTGCTTAGTTGAAGAATCCGTTTCTGACCGTCCAAAAACGTGCTTACTTGCAAAACATGTTTGTGCTTACTCCTAAAAATAGGTTTCTTGCTGCATTTAGTAGAACACAACTCGATTAAAATGGTGATTTGGCCCCAGGCTACGTGTTGACAATGACGAGAAGCTGTCAGGTGGATTGTGGGACGTGTTTGACCTTCTCGTTCTGGATCTGTGGTAAAGGTGCTCCTATAGCTTCTGTGTAAATAGCTATTTTGAGCTTGTAAATATTTAAGTGGCTTGTTTGATCTTCTCTCTTCTTTTGTATATTTTTTTACTACAAATACACAATGTGCCTGTAGGGAGTTTGTGATAAATAATTATAACGTTTATTGTAAATTTCAAGTTTCAAAACAAGTTTGCAGTGTTGCATTTATTGATCCAACAGTTAGAAATAAACAGCAAACAGTAACTTGTGATGAGAGTGAGACTGAAACAAAGTTATGAAACTATACTATATCTATATATATTTATATTTTATTATACATTATAATACAACATTTAATTTCGAGCCCTGGATTTGATACTCCAGGACAGAGAACACTCTCTTAAAACTGGCGATGATGGCTGGATCTGGATCATTTTGAAGGGTCAGTTCTTACTGGAAACCATTTATAGTGACTACATAGATATCAGATGTTCAACAACACCACAAGCAATGTAGAGATTTAAAGTTTCTCTAAAGAGGGGCACATACTTGATTTTACATCCCTTATAATTTACTATGTTTGCAAAAAATAAGATTTAAATGCGTTTTTATGCACATGACAGACTAAAAGTCTTTATATTCTTTGGCCAGCAAACGTGTATATTATATTCAGTGTCC